TTCCACCTCATAATAGTGTCATAAGATGGGCAATCATTTCCATAAACTTACATAATCTCCTCATGAATTTGCCAGGCACTATTACCCTTCAAATGCAGGAACTTTATCATGCTGTGGGCCTCAATCTTCTCCATCTTACACTTTAGTCTCTTCTGGCACAACCTGTATCAAAAATAAAGGACACAAAGAACTGATTTTGTCAACATCATGCACTTAGGAACCAATGATGACACTGAGAAAATTTCATCAATATATCATAATAACTTCCAGGTGATAGTTATTACTTTATGATACCCCCTTGTAGCTTGAGGCTTGACTAAAGAGGTTGCAGACATGCATGCCTCTGTTAACAAAGAAGCTCCTTTTTATAAAGTCTTCCTTTAAAAGGAGCCCAATCCTCTGTTCCTCCTCTAATTTTTCAGGATTTTTTTAAAAACAGCATCAGCATTGAGAGGATGATGAAAGAGGACTGAACAAACAGACTTTAGTTTCAGGTTACAGACTTTCAGTGTCAGGTGTGTAGTAATCAATGCAATAAAACTTGAACTGAAAAAGAATGGGATTCTTCTCTAGCCAATCCATCTGTAGCTTTATGTGCCCTGCCAGAACAGGTAAGGTAAGCTTTGGCCTTCAAAATTTCTTTCTGGGCATGTGTGAACAGAAAAAAAAGGGGGGAGGGAGGGGAGATTAGCCTGATTCTCCAGGTACTCCCATAATGCTTTTTTTTTTTTTTTTAAAGGCAAAGACTATGTTTGGCCACCAAAACAGAAATAATAATAATTTTTAAAAAGTGAGGATAGTGAAAGCAAAGGTCTTACTGGGATGCATTTTAGAACAAGCCTTCAAGAAGATTCAAATGTTTTTGTTCACATATGCAAGATTGTTTCATTTTACATGTGTATATTGTTAGTTTTGAATCAAACATTTGCTGAAATGTGTTTGAACTGCTCTTTTTTTGTGTGGTGCAGCAACCTATCCTTATTCTTTCTGTGTTATTGCTGTCTCTAGTATTTATGCTTTTGTTAGAGAAGTAACACTCAGGAACACATCTACTTTGTTAACTGAGCTATAATTTTACAGTGGCCCCTTCTTATCCACAGGGGTTCCGTTCTGGATTTTCCTCCCCACAGGTGGCAAAAAACCCCAAGTTCCGTGATTTCAGTGGGTGCCCGTGTGAACGTTGCTGCTCTCCCAGGGCTGAATGCATCCACAGCCATTGAAATCAATGGGGTTTGCTCTTCATGGATGCTCAAATTGCAGATGGCAACCATGCGGTTGATGTGGGTGCACTGCATATGCTATTTCCAAGTTTCAGCCAGCCATCTCTTATGAGATGCCACCTGACTTCACAAGTTTTTGGTGAATTCTCTTAATATTTGATGACACCTCTGGAGACTTTGGGAGGCAAAAGAGTGCACAGGACAAGATGGTAGGGCAAGGTGGCAACAAGGGGCAGGATTTAGGTTGCTGTAAAATATGACTGAGCAAAAGCAGCCATCTCTCATAGCAGACACATGGCAGATTAGACACCTAGTGTGGAAACATCCCATGTGAAGAACAAGAAGAAGATGTGGAACATGAACTTCAATTCTTGTAGGATTACAAAAAAGAAACAGACCCAAGCATGTAATAAAAATGCATACAGCAGCCATTTGCAGTTTGTTTATTCCTTGGATGGCAGCTGTAGCTCAGTGGAGATTTAGGATTTGCTTAGGCTGGCAGACCTTGTTTTTAATTTGTGAGTTGCTGATGCTTTACAATGTGTGGCCATGAATGGTTTGTATCATTATCACTGGTAATCATCATATTCTGTTCATTTTATGCAACCACTTGTCTGGCTGTTCACTGTAAAAATGAGTAATTACTGTAGCATCTGGTATACCAATATGTTTAGGCAGTGGCCTTGACAAGCAAGGTACCTCTCCAGTGCACTAGAGAGCAAAATAAAGTTACATATGAGCAATCTGACTCTGACTGTGTTATATGGAACTGAGACACAAACTCATTATCCTAGGTTTAATGAAGCTTTATTTGTTTTAAAAAACAAATGTTGCAGAAATAAATGTATAGTATTTCTGTGAAAGCAGTTATTCTCATTTCAGTTATGTTCCCATCCTTAAAATAAACATCATTTACAGATTTTTATCTCTTTGTAGAGATGATAGGCTTTATGACTAGGGATCTAAACAAGAAAGCACAGATAGACAGTGCAGTATTTATACCAACCTTTCTCAACTTTTTTATCCTGGAAGAACTCCTGAAATAATTTTCAGTTCTCCGAGAATCCTTGCATAAATATTATCATATCTGCACTCGAAAAAATTATGTTGCTTCATTCACAGTCTCTTGGGGAATCCCAGCGACCTCTCATGGAACCCTAGGATCCCAGAGCACCTGGTTGGGAAACCCTGATTTATACCATTGTGTAAACAGCTTCAGAACCTGATGAAGCATTATCATATCTGCACTCGAAAAAATTCAGCTTGCACCCCCTAAATTCAGCTTGTATTCACCTGTAATGTCTTTCTCCCAAGTGATCAGGTTAACTTTGCATGTTATAAATAGGTATGTAGCTAAGCATTGGTGAGATGGAAACTTTATGTTCTAGACAAAAATAGTATTTGTTCATAGTATTCATGTATAAATTGTATTCATACATAGTATAAATTCTGAGGATGTTATTAATATTCTGGAATGGATTTTGTGTACAGATGTACCTCTGTATCCAGCACTTGAAGAATTGAAGTTCATTAATCCAGCAGGGGTAGTTTTGCAGATTTGCTACTGTTGTCTGCCATCAAGTCGTTTCTGACTTATGGTGACCCTAAGGCAAACCTGTCACAAGGATTTCTTGACAAGATTCTTCACAGGAGGTTCGTCATTGCCAGTCTCTGAGGCTGAGAGTGTGTGACTTGCCCAAGGTCACCCAGTGGGTTTCCATGGCTGAGCTGGGATTCGAACCCTGGTCTCCAGAATCATACCCCAATACTCAAGCCACTGTGCCACACTGGCTCATGTTGAATTTACATTGATTACAGCAACTGAGAGTTCGAGGGGCAAATCTGCCCTCTTCAAGAATTACCTGTTAGTTCATTACCTGCCAATCTATAGCAGAGCATGGGAAAGTTGCTTTTTTTTCTTGGACTAAATTCCAAGGATAACCAATGCACTGTAAATTAGGTGGAGTGATACAAAGATGTAATCATGAAATAGCTATTCTTCCAATGACTCTTTAATAATTTAACTCCCTAGCCCCTTCACCTATCTTTGTAAAACTTGGAAGGTTTGGGAGATATCTTATGATGAATGCTGTTTTCATACAAATCATATATACCTGGGAACAAAGAAAAAATGAATCACTCCTCTCCTATAAAATGTGAGGACTCCTCTTTCACATAAAATGATGCAGCTGTTGTTCTGAAGCTGGCATGTTTCTAACTTAGGTCCATCTGTCTGCTATTTGTCAATCTGAGAATAATGGTGCACAGGGAAACACAGGGAGATAAGTGTATACATTTTTTTAAATTATCTTAAAATGTGCAAGTATTTTGCACCATATCCCTGCACCTATTCATCAGAGGAGGCAGTTATATGTGCAGATTTCTTCCGATTCTGCCAGGATTTAAACATGGCAATTGGAAGTTCTATTTTAAAAAATAAAACAAAAGTACATCAAAAAACCAAAAAATCCATTACTGTTCGATTGAAATTTGCCATGGTAAACCAGTCTAATGGGATTATAATGTCTGCAGATTTCATCCAGTTGTAACATCCACAATAACTAATGGGAGGCATGAACCTTTGGCTTTCTGAGCCTTAGCTCATGTATGAGATATGAGTCAAACTGGATGATTCCTGAATCAATCCAAGACAAATGTGGCAATTTTCCAAAGTACTCAGTCAGTGTCCAGATCTCATATTTTATTCAGTGAACACCTCTAGTTAGAGTTTACACAACCATGCTATATTATAGAACACAACTAAGACTAACATTTAATAACTTGTCCCTTATGAATTGCAGAATTTCTACAAGCAGGAAAAGCCAAATGTCTAAAACGTCCACAAAGATTGAGTTCAGAAAGCAGAGTCAACTTAAAATTTTAAAAGTGTATTTTCTCCTATACACTTACTTTAAAAATTGAAAGTCAACCTTTTTTTAAAAAAAATAACGTGGTTGTTTGTGAATAATTTCAAGAGATCCAGGGACCACATTTACCTGGGACCTCAGAAGGCCTCTACCTTATCTTCAATGTTGGGAGTGCCTAACATGGCCAGTTGATTTATTTGGATCTGTAGGGATATCCAAACAAAGCCCTCCCTCCCCACGGGCTTAAAAGAGGTGAGAGAGATTAGGACAAAATAACCAATGACTGGAGGAGTGGGAGACTGAGGACATGTGGGGAAGAAATGCTGGGGTGTTGATGAGGGCCCTGTGTAGAGGGGGCTGCATGTCATCCATGGCCTGCTCTGTTTTGGTTGAAACATAGATCTCCTTATTTGTTTATCCCGTGTCCTGCTACTATGTACATGCTAAGTGTGTGCGTTTTATTCAATATAAAATAGTGACAGTGGAAATTTAATGGACAACAAGCTAGAGCAGGGGTCAGCAACATTTGTTGCCGTGGGGCCGGGGGGGGGAATGGTGCAGGGGTCGGTTGGGCAGGCGCTTGCTTGCTTGCTTGCGCGCTTTCCCCTGTGCACGCATGCACACAATGCCTGCTGTCATGCGCATGCATGCGTGCATGGGGCGCCACATGTGCATGGCACCGTTGAGCCTTCCAAAATGACGGCAGTGCTTGCGCATGCATGAGCGCAAGCGCCGGCACCATTTTGGAAGGCCGCAGCACGTGTGTGCTGGGCAAATTCACCCGGTGCACGCACACTGTGGCCTTGCCAGGGCCCAGGGAAGGCCGCAGCACACCTGCTCCAGGCAAATTCACCCACCGCACGCATGCTGCGGCCTTGCCAGGGCCCAGGGAAGGCCGCAGCGTGCCAGGTGAAATCACCCGGCAAATGCGCACTTCGGCCTCCCCTGGGCCCTGGCAAGGCCCCAGCTTGCCTGCTCCAGATGAATTCACCTGGCGCACGTGCACTGCAGCCTTCCAAAATGGTGCCCACGCTTGCGTGCATGTGCGCAAGAGTGGGTGCCATTTTGGATGCCAAAATGGTACCCACGCTCGCATGCGGCGCGGCGGCAGTGGCAGGACCGGACACAGGCCGGTCCCAAGGCCTCCTCGGGCTGCAGGGCTGGCCGCTGAGCTAGAGTAACATTTTTATATAGTGATGTTTGGATATCATAAACATGAGATAAGGACCTCAAACCTCCACATATTAGTGGAATTATATAGTTAATTCTTATATATTGATTTCTTAGAACCGAACACTGCTCACCGAAACAGTTAAAATTGATTTTCAGAAACATACTACAGATGTTCAGAACAGATGAAAAGGATACTGAAGATAAAGAATTTTTGAAACATCTGCTAATCATTTTATTTAAGAGGACTAGCCGTTTAGTAATTTGCAGTAAAACACGTGCGTGCGCACACATACGCTATTGTGGGTAATTTAATTGATAGTGGTATAACATTGTGAGCCAAAGGCCATTGCAACAGCTGTATGAAACAGCCCCTGGCACAAAAACACATGAGCAATATAGTTTTGTAGTTTAGGTGCCATAAGGCATATATTTTCTTCAATATCTGCTGTCACTATCAGTAGCACTAGATTTAACTGCAAGGTCAAAAATCTGTCTAAGAGTTTCTTATTCCCTACACAATATATGATCCACCAACCGATTGTACATTTCTGGTGGAAAATGCCTGGTGTGAACCAAAGTAAGTGTGTGTGTGCGCGCGCATGTGTGTGCGCGCGTGCACACCATCTGTACAGTAATGATTGTAGAATGTGAATTGCAGTTAATAACCAGTTTTCTCTTTGTCCATCTGCCATTTGTTTTTTGTCTTAGAAGGATGTGTGTGTGTATTTTGTCAAATGTTCATTCACCTAAACTGGATGAGATAATGTCTTGGAACTATAGACCAACTATAGACTCATCTCTTTTCAGAGGCTTCTCTACAGCTGAGATATGCCCTGTTGAATATTTGTGTGATGCTTGTGCAGTCCACCTGTGATAATGCTTACCAGTTGAAGATGAATATGCTGGACTCTTCACATTGGACTGATATTCTAGCTCAGGGGTAGACAACCTTTCCCCTTTAAGGGCCGAGGGACTTCATAGCTTATTAGATACTCATGGTTAATGCCCTCCTGATTATAGTTGCTTGCCTGCACTTGCTTGTCTGTATGCTTACATTAGGAATGGACAAATCTGTCAACTTTGCCTTCTCTCATAGTTTTTTCTTTGTTTTTTAAAATCACAAGATCCTTCTGTCCAGTTTTTGAAGAAACCTGAAATTCTGATAAGTTCTTATCTAAAGTGAATTTGAAGACAGTTCTCAGCTGTTTGCACTGGCCTTGTAAATCATGTAGAGAACTTTAGCTAGAAAACTTTAATATTCTAAATAGATAAGATAAACAATAAATAAAAGTAAAACCATACCAAAGATACTGCCACAGTGATGGCCTATATTCCTTCAATGGGAAGTTGAAGATCCCATGAGGAAGGAGCATATGTATCATTTTAAAAAGTACCATACTTGAGCTACTAACTTTGCAGAAAAGTTTAGTTGGAAAAAAGTGGTACAAAAAAAAAATAATAAAAAAAAATAAAAAAATCTCTATAGTCTCTCATGTAGCCTGTAAGTTTTTAGAAGGGATAAACTACCAGCCCACTAATAATTTCTTTAAATTATGTTCATTCACACAGAGCTGTTTTTCACTGTAGTTTGTCTTCTGCAATCTAATTTTTAGTAATTAGGTTACTGAATGGCTATAATAGATGTCAAGAAGTGAAGTAATGGATATAGCCAGAACAATTTCATGCTTTTCAGATAAGATTATATTATACTTAGGCTGGATCATGACTGACTTCATGATTTCACTGGTTTAATTAAGTCTAATGTCTAAAATGGAATAAAATTGCTTGACTAAATTGTCATTTCTTAATAATATAATAGGATGTTTTATTTTGCCAGTCATCTAACAGAAGGTCTTTACTTTTACATATAAGACTTGACACTTCTACTTTCTGAGATATTTATTCACAGAAGTTCTTGTAGTAGACTTAAATGACCTTGCACTTTGGAAAAGTGATATAACTTGATTCATTTAAAAATAATTATCTGCCAGTCTTTTTTATTGAGTTTGGTACTGTGCAGTCCTTCCATGCCCTTTATAATCATAACCCTAGCTTCAACTATTGCTGTTTGTATTCCTGTAGAATTATTACACAGTCCCCCCCCCCGCAAACACATATATTTTATTATGTAAAATAACTGTAGCTAAATATTTAAGTGATAAGAGTGAAGTAAATGATGTGTCATTGTGATGTAACCATTACTTTATATGACTGGAACTCAAGAGAACCAACTTTAAATTTCTTCTTAGCCAGGAAACATGTTAGTTGCCCTTGAAAGACTTATTTTCTGCCAGACTGATTATGTGATGTGACTAGTTAAGAGCTCATTGGAAGAAAGGTGAACAAATAAACAAAGGAAGAATGGTAAACAAACAAATTAGAAATTGTGGATGTGGATTCCCTGTGTCTTTCTATGAGTACTGCATAGTGCCACCTCTCCATAGCTGAAGTTAAGTAGATATTGAATGCTTTTGAATATTTTCCAATTTGACTTTTCTGGCTAATTTTTTTGTTAATTGATTGTGACATTAGAGGATTCCAACCATTATTATCTGGCACTGTTACTACCTTTTATGAGATGAAGTGGTTTATGTATTATATGCATTTCAGCTTACCTGAATGACCAGTTGACTGCTGCTGTGTGCTAAGTTTCAAAAAGCACTACACACACACACCCTTGTAGGAGATGTTGAGGCTGAACTGTATGCAAAAGTTCTATTTTTCCATAATATTTGTTCATGCCTTCCATGTT